ACGCCCTCCCTGCCCCTGCCTTTGTCCCCCCACAGCTTCCCCCCACCCGGGCTGCGGCCCGCCCCCCCCCCCCCCCACCCCTCCTTATTCTCCCCTGGCCCCGCCCTGCCCCCGCCCCCACCCCTGCTGCAGGTGCCAGGGCACCCTGGGGCCTCAGCCGCTAACGCCCTTTCTGGTGAGTTTGGGGTCCTGGCCGGGGGGTGGGGGGCCATGGCCCCGGGCTTGGGCCCAGTTGGCTTTGGGGCATCTGGACCTTAGCAAGCAGCAGGGCGTGAGGAGGGAGCGGCCCAAGGCCAGAAGGGAAGGCCAGTCACCCGGGCCCAAGGAGGCTGACACGGTGGCTACAGATGTTAAAGCCTTCTCCCCCTCCCCTCCCACAGAGCAGGACCTGATCGGCCAGGACCTGAACTCTCGCTACCTGAATGCCCAGGGTGGCCCCGAGGTGGTGGGGGCAGGGGGCTCTGCCCGGCCCCTGGCCTTCCAGTTCCACCAGCACAACCACCAGCACCAGCACACCCACCAGCATACCCACCAGCACTTCACCCCTTACCCCCCGGGCCTGCTGCCACCCCACGGCCCCCACATGGTGAGCTCCTCATTGGGCCGGTGATGAGGCTCAGAGACCTGGGGGGAGGGTATGGCTTCCAGGGGAAGGCCCTGGGTTCCTGGCTGGCAGCTTACTCTTCCCTTCTCTTCCCTAGTTTGAGAAATATCCAGGAAAGATGGAAGGCCTTTTCCGGCATAATGTGAGTGTGTGAGAGTGTGTGAGTGTGTGGGTGTGGGTGTGGGTGTGTGGTGTGGGTGTGTGGTGTGTGGGCATGGATGCATCAATGCGTGTGGCCCTGATTGTTGGGGTCCAGTCTTCAGCTTCAAAAGCAAGAGCCTTGAGCCTGGGAGAGCTCCCTGGGGGGGATTTAGGGTGGAGGCCAGAGGACTGATGGGCAGACCACAGATGGGCTGCACCTCCACCCCCAGCTTGGACTAGTCCCCTTCTCTCCACAGCCGTACACGGCCTTCCCTCCCGCAGTGCCCGGCCTACCTCCGGGCCTCCCGCCGGCTGTCTCCTTTGGCTCCCTGCAGGGGGCCTTCCAGCCCAAGGTGAGCTCCCAATCCAGACGACACCACCACCTCCCACCCCTTACAAACCCGGATACCCCTGGATCCATTTACCTTCCCATTCCCCAAAACCATGCCCATCCTCCTGCCTTCCCCTTGTGGACCCAGGTTTCTCCAAAGCCATGCTCCCTCCCTGTCCCAGCCCCCAGCTTGGTTTTAGACCCCTCTTATGCCTGGTGTCAGCTCTCCTGACTGATCCCTCCACTCCCCTTTCCCAGAGCACGAACCCCGAGCTGCCACCACGACTGGGGCCAGTGCCGAGCGGGCTTCCCCAAAAGGGGACACAGGTGAGGGGGGCCAAGGCAGGTCCTCGGGCAGCTGGAAGATCTGTTGAGGGAGAGCAGGGTTGATTTGAGAGTGAACCACTGATTCCTCCCTTTAATATATGGTCAGGGGTGTCCCTGAGAACCTGAGAAGAGAGAATTTCTGTAAATGAAGAATTTCTCAGGCATGAGGAATAGGAATTTCATGAAGTCGCCCCAGAAATAAGATTCCTAGGATGGTGGTTTTTGTAGGGGTTTTCGAATTTTTTAAGTCACAGCACTCTTTTCAAATGACATCATACTAGGAAGTTCTTTCCATAAAACAATGAAAAGATAAGCTGCTTCTTTGTGAAGTGACGTGGGGAGCAGCCTTAAAGCCCAGGGCTTTGGGAACATCTTGAAAAGCACAGGATCTGTTTCCTAAAGGAGAGACTAGACCAGAGGTTTTCCAGCTTCTTTTCACAATAGTAAAGGCTTTTTTCTAAAGAAATCTTAAGCAGATCTTCATTATATAAAGCTGTTTATCAGATAGCTACTCTTCTCTGAGAAACCTGTCCTGCCTGCCCGCTAACCCACTCCGCAGCCTTCCAAGCAGGGCACCTCCTTGGAGCCAGGTTCAGTAACTTGGTGCTGGAGGGGAGGTGCCTGGAGTGGGAGAGATGGGGAAAGGAAAGGTTTGAGGGAGCCGCACATGGTCTCAGGGAGGTGTCTGGGGGGGCATTGGGGACTGTGGAGATGAGGTGCCCAGGTCGGTAAACAGGTCTGAACTGCTGCCAATCTCTGCTTTGCTATTCCCAGATCCCTGACCATTTCCGGCCACCTTTGAGGGTGAGTTTGGTGAGGACCTCAGGCTGCATGAGGCTGGGGGCTGGCATCAGGGTGTTCGTGTGAGGGGAGGGTCTTGCTTGGGAATAAGCAAGAAGCCCAAGACGTGGAGGCAGCCAGATGTGGAACAGCAGGAAGCGAAAAGCTTGCAAACCGCAGACCTGGGTTCAGACACAGCTGGCCGTGGGACCTTGGGCAAGACAGTTTATCTCTCTGAGCCTCAGTTTCCTAGGCTGTGAAATGAACCTAGTCATCCCTCAGGTGTAGGGGTGATGAGTGGGGACGTTGTGTCGCAAGGCTGGGCCCAGGGCCAGGTCTGGAGTGGGTGATGAGTGAACATTCTTTCCTTCCCTTTCCCTTTGGTCATCCTTCTGGGGCGGCAGAAACCAGGGAAGTGGTGTGCCATGCACGTGCGCGTGGCTTACATGATCCTGAGACACCAGGAAAAGATGAAGGTACTGGGGCGAGGGCTGGGGAGAGTGGGCCTGCCTGAGCTCTGGGCGTCTGCCTTCAGTAGAGCTTGGCAGAATCTTGGCCAGAAATGTTCCCTCCTGTCCCTGGTCACTGCCTGAGCAGTTCCACAGTTAGCACTAGGTTCTCTTGCTAACTGGGGTGTGGTCAGAGAAGGCCCTGAGAGAGGCAGAGGCCCACCCAAGCCCTGCCTTGGCGCCAGGCAGCCCTCGGAGGGGGCCTCGGGGTGGAAGAGCAAGAGCGGGACCACACCTGGCTCCTCATTCACTGCCCCTCTCCCTGTCCCACGCAGGGCGACTCCCACAAGCTTGACTTTCGGAACGACCTCCTGCCCTGCCTTCCGGGGCCCTATGGGGCCCTGCCCCCTGGGCAGGAGCTCTCCCACCCGGCCGCCTCCCTCTTCACTGCGACTGGTGAGTCTGGCCAGCCCTCTCTGGGCCTAAGGTTGCCCACCTGTAGCCCGAGGCCCACCTTGCGTCCACTCAGCCTCATCAGAATCTCCCGCCTCTCTGCCCCAGGTGCCGTCCACGCTGCAGCCAACCCTTTCACGGCAGCTCCCGGGGCCCACGGACCCTTTCTGAGCCCCAGCACCCACATTGGTAAGAGCCAAAGGCATGTTGGGCAACCTAAGCCTTGTCCCTGAGTTCCAGGAGGTGTTAAGCTGGGGATAGAAGTTAGACCTGAGAGGCAGCTGGAATGGAGGGTAGACCTGGTTCCACTTGCTTTGTGACCTTGGGCAGGTTACTCTACTCCCTCTGAGCCTTGATCTCATCCTCTTTAAAATGGGATAGGGAAGGGCAGAGTAATCGCCAATCCCTGACAGCTCAGTCACTGTCTCTGAAACTGGCCAGTGGTATTGGGGAGTGTGCCACCTGGGAGAGTGGGGTGGAGGAAGGCTGTGCAGGCCCAGTGGAGAGCATGGTCACTGGCTCCCAGTGATCTTGGCAGGCTTCTTGGGGAGATTTATCCTGGGTTTGGATGGACGAGGAGGAGTTGAGCCGGCTGGCCTAGGGAAAGGTGTTCCTAGAAGAGGAAATTGTGAGGTTCCCGCAGCTTGCTAGTTACATGTTCTGACTGGCTATGTGACATATATACGAAGTTAGGGTCAGGTTGGGAGCAGCCCTGCATGCAGGTGGGAGGAAGCTAGCTGAGGCCTTCAGGCGAGTGGCTTGCTGTAGAGCTGGTCTGGGTGGCTGGTGTTGGGGGCTGTGGGGTAAGAGCCTGACCTCTGGAGTCAGAGGCCCTGGATTGGGGGTTCCACTCACTGGTTAGATGACCATTGATTGGCAAGTTACTTCACCTCTCTGAGCCTGTTTAATCATCTTTAAGTGGGAATGCTCCCGTCTGCCTCATGGAGCTTGTGAGGTTAAACAACACGTTGCACCTTAAAGCTCAGTGCTTTTCTGGGGCCTGCTTGGTGATCAGCCTCTTCCCTGCCAGTCCTTGATGCCTGCTCAGAGCTGGCCGCCCAATGCTCTGACCATCCCCCTTTTCTCCTACAGATCCCTTTGGGCGTCCCACAAGCTTCGCCTCCTTGGCTGCCCTCTCCAACGGGGCCTTTGGAGGCCTGGGCAGCCCCACATTCAGTGAGTGCTGGGCAGGGTGGGGTGGGGGCAGTGGGCTCCTGGGCTCAGGCAGGGAACTGGGAGGACGCCTGAGTGGGACCGCCCACTCCTGGCTCCCATCACTTTCTACTTTGTCTTCTATCTAGACTCCGGCGCCGTCTTTGCCCAGAAAGAAAGCCCAGGGGCCCCACCAGCCTTCGCCTCCCCCCCAGACCCATGGGGCCGCCTGCACCGCAGTCCTCTGGCCTTTCCTGCCTGGGTCCGGCCCCCTGAGGCTGCCCGGACACCAGGTTCAGACAAGGAGCGGCCTGTGGAGCGGAGGGAGCCCTCTCTCACTAAGGAGGAGAAAGACAGGTGTGCTTCCCTGCCAGCCTCCACCTGCCCTGCTCTCCGCCCTCCCTTACCTCAGTCCGAGATCTCCGGAGTACCTTCATTCTCTCCTCCCTGCCCCCAGGGACCTCCCCTTCTCACGGCCCCAGCTCCGAGTTTCTCCTGCTACTCCCAAGGCGCGGGCTGGCGAGGAAGGGGCCAGGCCAGCCAAGGAATCGGTGCGGG